TTTATATATATATATATATATATATATATATAAAACCCAAAGCAAACCCAGAAGAATATTACCCAGAAGAAGAATATTATATATTAATATTATATATTATACTATGCTGGAGAGAGAGTGTGGCATAGTGGTGCCATGAAGCAAGGGCGACCAGAGGTCCTCCTTTTCCAGGGCATGTCCTACATTTCCACCTTCTGTCCAGGAGGAATATCAAAATGCCCTCCATTTTGCTTAGAAGTATGAGTTTATAGCTTTTTTTTTTTTTGCAACTCCCCACATTTTAATGTAATGTCCTACATTTTACGTTGCCTTGACCTCCTTTGTGGTTATGACATGTGGTCACCCTGCATGATACCCACTGGGTGACTTTGGGCAAGTCACACTCTCTCAGCCTCAATGGAAAGCAATGGCAAACCACCTCTGGACAAATCTTGCCAAAAAAAACAAACAAAGCCATGATAGGTTCACCATAAGTCGAAAACTACCTGAAGGCACAACAATAACAACAATGCTGGACAAGGCTGCTGGGAGTTGCAATGCAACAACATCTGAAAGGCTAGACAATTCCTAACCCACCCCATCCCATGAGTCAGGCCAATATTTCTGAGGTTGAGAGAGTGTGACTTGCCCAAGGTCACCCAACGAGTTTCCATGGCTGAGTTGGGATTCGAACTCAGGTCTCCAGGGTTGTAGTCCAGTGTCAAAACCATAACACCACACTGGCCATAGTCAGCCATAAATGCCATAAAAGTGACCCAATTGAGTCATGATGGAGGAAGTACTCTTTTTCTTGGTTTTGCCTCCATAAGCATAGTGCCTTTTAATATTAATATTATTATTTTATTATTATTATTTTTCCTTGGCAGGGTTGGATATGTTTAGATCTGTCCTTTGTGAATTACAAACCACAGTTTCTTATGCAGCCCTTGCATCTGAGGAACTCTGGATTGAAAGACTATGGTTAAGCGTTTTGGCTTAGGAGAGACTCGAGTTCGAGTGTCCAGTCCAATAAAACTAGTTTGGTGGTACCCAGTGTTCTGCTGAAGTTGGGAAAAGAAAACTATAGTATATGATTATATGAGGACAGCGTAGCTGACGGAAACCCTGAAAAAGAAGGCTGCTGGGTGAGAAGGTGAAGACAGACAGAAAAACCAAAGTACAGCCATTTTGGATTGGACCAAAGGCCAGCGTTTCTGATCCTCAAGCTTTGTAAAATCACTTTAATGGACCGCAGTCCCATTAACCCAGAATCCCTAGCTAGCATAAGAGCCAGAGTGGGGTAGTGATTTGAGCATTGGGTTCTGGAGCACAGGGTTCGAATCCCTGCTTGGCCATGGAAATCCACTGGGGCACACAAGGGCCTTTTCTGGAGGATGCCCTCCTGGGATGCCAAGCTGGTCCTGTCTCCTGAAGGCTCACAAAAGCAGCAACAATGTCCACCGGTGGTTATACCTGAACAACATAAAAATTTGAAAGGCATCTTGGTTTGTGTAATTCCTGCATGGCAGAATGGGGCTGGACTGGATGACCCTTGGGGGTCCCTTCAAACCTATGAGGTCAGTCAGGCTGAGAGGAGAGCTAAAGGCTAATAACAATTCTTCTTCCCAAAAGAGATGATGATGATAATGTTATTATTATTATTCCTCCAATAATAATATTAATATTATTAATATTACTATTATTAATATTAATGTTATTAATATTACTATTATTAATATTACTATTATTAATATTAATATTACTTAATATTAATTAATATTAATATTAGTTAATATTAATATTAGTTAATATTAGTTAATATTAATATTAGTTAATATTAGTTAATATTAATATTAGTTAATATTAATAATATTAATACTGTATTAATATTAGTTAATACTAGTATTATTAATATTAATATTAGTTAATATTAATAATATTGATAATATTATTCCTCTCCCTCCCAATATAGGGACTCAAGGTGGCGGAACCTCAAATTTAAAATAATGCCATTTAAAAGCAATACAAAAGCATTAAATTTTACAGCTTAGGTTTTAAAATACAGATTAAACCTATAGTTCTCAGATAAAAACCATT